GAGAGAGAGCATTACCTCATTTTGTGGTAAACGATTCATACTATTTCGCCAAACTTGATTAATTTTACGTTTTATAATATTGCTACAGTACGGCAATTGAAGAAGTCGAGAAATAGTGCTAATCCCATGTTTCTGAACTATTGTAAATCAGAGGCAAAACAATGTTTTTGAAAATTCAGACATGTTTATATTATGAATGCATTTTTTAAATTTTTTCTCAACACGTTCTGTTGAATTGTTCTATGAACAATTTTGTCTAGGGTTTCGGTTATGATGTGTATTCCGGGAGAAATTACAATATGTTTATTTTGAAGCTGATAATTGAATGAAATAATTATAGACGTTGTCATTGCCAACAATAGTATTTAATATAAGAGCAGCTTTCTATGGCTTAGCCATCATCATCAGTTGTCTGCTGGATGGAAGCCACAAAACGACTACTAGTCCATGTACCATGAAAAATGCCAACGATAACGCACCACAACACCTATATGATAATTTAATGTTAGAATTATTTTCCCCGGTCTCCATTATAGTATGTCTTCTTCTTCTCCTCCTTCTTCTTCTTCTTCTTCTTCTTCTTTTCCCTTCCTTCCTTCTTTTCTTCTTCGTATATTCTTAACTTTCCTATAGTGGGCTTGATTGAACAGTCTCAACATACGGTGTCTAAACAAAAAGAGGATAAATAATTGCAATTTATCAAGATGGATAGAAGTGGAGTCATTGTTCCATTTCCAAAACCACATATTAAAGATCATATTTCTATTCCATTTTGTTAAGGATCATCGCAGTTCTGTACTAATTAGTGGCGCTTAATTTACTGTTTCACTAATTTGCATTCTTATTACCATAAACGTTTTGTTTCTGGGACTCGAAATCCTAATAACCTTATGCACATCATTTTGAAAATGTTACCACATTTAATTACAATAAGCGTCAGATCCAATGTTTATAGTTCCTCACAAAAACATTTTTATGTGTACTCATTTTGTGGTTTCCTTCGTTCCTCATAACTCCTGTTTTTCAATGCTTCTCTGCTAGTTTATGACGCCTTTGCAGGCGTGGCACGCCCTGATTCTTCCTCCTCTCTGCGCTGTTCCCGCGCTCTCTCTTCCTCTTCTCCCCGCTGCATCGTCCTTCGTTGCGTGGCGTCGCCCTTTTGCGTTTACTCAGCCATTTGCGCGTTTGCCGGCCGGTATTCGGTCGGCGTCAGTCCCGCCCCGCCCTGCCCTTGCCGCGCGCCGCCCCG